TCAGAGGAAATCGCAGGAGATACAGAGCAATAGGCATTCAAGAAAGGACTATTATGCAGGCTGCCCTCATTAGGAAGAGCATCAGAGAAGAACTGAACTTGACCTTGAAATGGTAAAACTTGGGTAGGTGGAGAAGAAGCAGGGGAGCATTACAGAGAGTAAAAAATATGTGTGGAAATGGCAGTGCAAAGGACAACTTGGGGATTTTGTTAGTCAATTAGATTGCCTAGAATGGATGGAATTGTGGAAGTCAAACTTGAAAAATAAAGTTGGTGACGGGTATTAAGGAGGACACGTATTGCATGGAGCACTTGATGTTATATGGAAACAATGACTCATGGAACACTACATCAAAAACTAATGATGTACTGTATGGTGACTAACATAACAATAAAAAAAATAAAACAATAAAAAAAAGCTGGAAAAGAACTGTACACTCTTGCTAGGCTGAAAATTTGAACTTTAGTCTCCCTGTTCAAGGATAGAGTAGTATTTTAGTTATATTAATTCAGAAAGTATTCAGAGTAAATTAATGAAAAGTATGAACTAGGTTGCTAACTATAAGAAACGAGATTGATGTAATTTTAAGTGTTGAGCATAATTTCCCCAATGTTTCTCTCCTAACATGCTTTCCACTAATCATGTTTTATGAAAGATTCTTTATTGCCTTGAAAAACTGCTTATGGTACTTAGGAATACCATCATACTTCTGCTTGTGTTTTGGGAGTCTCATGTTTAAAAACCTTTTCTATGTTTTTAACCATTTTTTACTTACTGTCTCTTTCTGTATTTGGAATGGTTAAATACAGGTTTTATCCTTTTCTCATTACCAATATTAGTTATTTAATTTTGCTAGAGGTCATCTTTAATATAAAAAGCAGATATGTATGATGGCACGCATTTTTAGGTATTCCTATACCTATTTCATGGGTGACTCATCTTACTGCTCTAGTCGTGCTCAGGGAAAATTTCTTTTTGTAATTAGTTGATCCAAATTCTTCCTTTAAAATCTAAGGTTTATGTTTTAACTTAGTGAGAAAGATTAGTCCAGGCATCTCAATGTTTATCCTTGTGGATGGGTATATGGAAATTACACTAGTATGGTTCCTTCTAATACCAGTGACCTCAAGATTGAGAGAGTATGTGTCTTGGTTGACTTGAAAGAAAAAAAATCATCAAGATATCAGTAGCAAAGTTCTTACTGTGTCCTTTAGCTTGTGCACTGATAGAGAATAAACAAACAAAAACCACAAGTGACTGGAGAAAAGAATAAAGGGTCTTCATGCATTCAACCACGGTTATTGAGCACATACTATGTGCCAGGTACTGTTCTAAACACTGGAGATACATTAGTGAAAAAATGACAATCTCTTTCCTTGGTTAGATGAAATGCTAATGGAAGGGAAAACTAATAAGTAGTTAACATAAAAAATAAGTAAGTTATGTTAGAAAATGGTAAATGCAATTGAGAGTATAAAATACAATACCACAGAAGAAGGAGGAGTAAAGATTGCACATCACTGAGAAAATGACAGCTGATCAGAGACATGAAGAGAGTCAGTCATGAAGAAATCTGGGGGAACAGGGTTCCATGATGAACAAAGCCACAAGGGCAATACTTGAAGCAATTTCAAGTGATGGACCTTTCCCCTCTGTTTGCATTAGGTGCTCATGCTCCTTATGCCTCCTATAGATTCTTGGGCATACCAGTCACTACCTAGCCACAGGGTCTCATGCAGGAAAGGCACAGAAACAATTTCTCTTTGACACCAGACCTCTTTAGGATCCCTTTCTCCTTTCTCTGGCTGCTCTCTGGCTTCCCAGAGTCTCATTCCTATCTTTCTAGGTCCATCTTTTCCACTGGTGCACCGTGTTGGAGCTGAGCTACAGTTAATCAAAGAAGGAATTCAACATTTGAGTTATTGGAGTTAAAAAGTACTAAATAATTTTATCTATCATTATTTTTGTTTTCCATTATTGTGATTATCCTGACTATAGATTTCTGCAATCTGCAATCTGCAGAATAAGCAAGAGTAGGAACATTATATAGGTATCCTGATCATAGTATTATACATATGGAATAAGCTTATGTAAATTGAGACATGTAAAAAGAAATTTTTTTCATAAAATCAACACTATATACATATTAATGAAGCAAACTGTTGTAAAATGCTGATCCTCAAAGATAGCAAGTGCAATCTTGCAAGTGCCCTCACTTACACACCAAATCAGGAAAAAAGAAGACCAGAATATATGTGGTTGTGGTATTTTTATATGAAACATTCTCTTATACATGATAAACTCCAAACACATTAAAATACCAGCATTATCCACAAACTTATGTTTAAACTATTATATTGCAAGTTCTACCTTTTTCAATAACTGTCATCTCATTTCTATTATTTTTACCTCAAGACTCTAATTGTTTCTTTTATAGGATCTAACCTACTAGTGTCCTTGGCAATACACTTTATGGTATTTGCATTTGCAATAATTATTTGGACAATTTGCCACATAGTACAACCAGAAAACGTTTTACTAGTTCAGGTCTAAATTCTTACAAAAACTAGCAGTTTTATAATGAGCAATATAGCTGTGAAAGTAGAAACGATGAATGTCTTTTACCCTAAACAGCACGTAGGTTTCTTTTCAGTTAAAAAAAAAAAAAAGTAAATTTAAATGCACTGAAGTATGGGTGGGTAATCTCCATGATAAATGAAAATTGTTTTATAGACTTAACAGTAGCAGAAGTACAATTTGTATAAAATTTAGGGCGCCTGGGTGGCTCAGATGGTTAAGCGTCTGCCTTCGGCTCAGGTCATGATCCCAGGGTCCTGGGATCGAGTCCCGCATCGGGCTCTCTGCTCCTTGGGAGCCTGCTTCTCCCTCTGCCTCTCTCTCTCTGTTTCTCATGAATAAATAAATAAAATCTTAAAAAAATAAATAAATAAATAAATAAATAAAATTTACATTAATGCTAGCCCATTTGATTATGTATACCTTCTTCTCTCCCCACCCCATGGAAACTCTTAATAGCAGAGTATTTTTACTAGAGGACTTAATTTCACACTGACCATACCTTTGTAGAGTAGAAGCCAGTGTGGAATAGTAGCATAAACCGGTGTTTTTCAAGCTTGGCTGCACACAGGGAAGGGAAAAATAAAAGACCCATACACAGGCCCCACTGCAAAGACTAACTGAACTGGTCTGGGGCAGGGCTCAGGCATAGGTATTGTTTAAAAATCTCCCCAGGTGATTCTGATGTGCCCCAGGATTGGGAATAACTGGTGTAAACAAAAGATCTAAACACAGGTGTTCTGAATTACAATTATTAAAAAAAATTGGAAATCATTTAGTCTCAATACGTACCAAAAGAGTAATACTATTTAAACAAAAAGAAAATCAGTCAATCTAAATGAAATAATGCTTTTGCAGGTATGGTGAGAGGGTTAAGCAAGAGCAGGAACACTAAGGATCAAGTTAATTGCCATTTAGGATGAAGTCAACTTTTAAGAGTTTTCTTTTAAAACTGTTTTCCTTCTTGAAAAAATGTATATTTTAGGATTCAGAAAATCACGCTTTTAAATATGATCTGCAATCAGATTGCAGGATCTGACCTCCTTCCAGTCTGATGTCTCTTTACAAGCCCACATATGTGCCAGATGCTACTGCCTTCATTGAGTTTGGGATAGTGTTCCTAGTATTTTTTTCTGTAGGGCCCCATGCTTCCCCATTCGTGAATGGTACAGTTGTGATTTTTAAACTGCTGGTTTGTATTTATCTTTCTTTAGACTGTAAACTTTATGAAGGCAGAGCTTGTTTAATCTTGGCTTGTGCTCATGGTTTAACTTCTAGTATAATGCCTAGCAAATATTAAATATTTGTTGAATGAATACACACTGAGTTTTGTCTAACATTATTCTGAATTAGCATGATGTCCAATAGAAGGACTGGGTCCTTTAAGCCCACCTGATAAAAGTATTCTTCAGAGTGTTGACTGCAGAGTCTGCTGTTGCCTTAAGACTGTGGCAGAGATCTTCATCTTTGGCAATGTAGCTGAGTCTCAGCAGAATTTGGCTCTTATCCCAGACTCCTTCTGCAACCCCGTCTGTGGCCCAACGTCTTCAGTCAAAAGGCTCCTTGCCTTTTGGCTCATATCTGGTTCTCAACTAGTCCTTCCCAAGTACCATATTGCTCTTGTACTGATCTCCAACCATAGTTTTATCTTACTGAGCCCTTCTCATTTCATCTGCTTAGGATTTCCTGGTAATAAACTTTGCTCTATTTAATCAGGGATCGAAAGGCCTTCAACTGGGAGAGTCATCTTGGCACTGATGAGCTCCTCCCTGCTTATTCTATCTCTTCTAGCTGTAGGCTCCAGAGAAAATAGCATGTTTGTACCGTGAGCTTCCTAAATCAGTTGGACTTCTTTCCTTGAATCTACGTGTTCATTTGCAGCATTTCTGAATCTGCTTACATCTACTTCAGTCTAGAACCTGGGTAGTTTAATGTTTTCTAGCATTTAGAATTGAAATTAACATTAGAAGAATGTGAAGTATAATTAGCTGCTTGTGATAATTATATTAATAAAGATTATTTATGTTAAAAATATTGTCTCCTATTTAAAGAGATTCAATCAAACAAAGTCTATGTAGGGGGCACCTGGGTGGCTCAGTCTGTTAAGCATCTGACTTCAGTGCAGGTCATGATCGCGGGGTCCTGGGATCAAGCCCCATGCAGGGCTCCCTGCTCAGCAGGGAATCCGCTTGTCCTTCTCCCTCTGCCCCTCCCCCTGTTGTGCTCACTCTTTCTCTCAAATAAATAAATGAAGTCTTAAAAAAAAAGACAACCCACATAGTGGAGAAATCATATATCCAGTAAGTGACTTATATCTAGAAGAACTTAATTTTAAAATAAGCTAAGCGGGCGCCTGGGTGGCTCAGTTGGTTAAGTGACTGCCTTGGGCTCAGGTCATGATCCTGGAGTCCCAGGATCGAGTCCCGCATCGGGCTCCCTGCTCAGCAGGGAGTCTGCTTCTCCCCCTGACCCTCCCCCCTTTCATGTGCTCTCTCTCTCTCTCAAATAAATAAATAAAATCTTAAATAAAATAAAATAAAATAAGCTAAGCATCTGAATAGATATTCTCTAAAGAAGCTATTTTAATGACCTATAAGCACATAAAACAATACTCAACATCATTAGGAATGCAAAAACCACAATAAGGTATCACTTCACACCCACTGGAATTATTATGATCAATAAGAGGTAATAAATGTTGGTGAGGACTTGAAATTAAAACCTTCATGCACTAGTGGTGGGATTATAAAATGGTGCAGCCACTTTATAGGAAAATAGTATGACAGTTTCTTAATATGTGAAATATGGAATGACTATAGCCCAGCAATTTCACATCTAGGTTTCTACCCAAGGGAAATGAAAACATATGCCCACACAAATGTAAATGTTTATAGAAGTACTATCCACAAGTACCAAAAGGTGGAAAAATCCAAATGCCCAACAACTGGTGAATGAGTAAACAAAGTGTGTTATATCTATATAATGGAATACTATTAAGCAATAAAAAGAAAGTACTGATACATGCTACAACATCGATGAGCCTCAAAACATTATGCTCTGTGAAAGAAGCCAGACATGAAAGGACACATATTGCATAATTCCACTTGTATAAAATGTCCAAATTAGGCAAATATATAGAGACAGGAAGATTAGTGTCTCTAAGGCTGGGGTTGAGAAATGAAGAGTGCTTCTAAAGGACATGAGGTTTCTTTTTGGGGTACTGGAAATGTTTTAAGGTTAGTTTTTGGTGATGGCTGCACAATTCTGAAAATATACTAAATATGCTAAAAATTATTGTATTGTACACTTAAAGTGGGTGAATTTTATGGCGTATATATTATAATTCGATAAAGCTGTTAGCTTTAAAAAATGTTACTGATTTTGTATGGAGATATGAATTTTATGATAAATAGACTTCTGTAGACCTACTGCAGAGTTGAGGGCTAATGGAAATTAGAAATAGAGTCTGTTTCTCCTGAAGTTTAGCAGAGAAGGTATTGTGTTTTAGACAAGGTTAGAATAATAGAGTGGCAAGAAAATGAATATAGGTAGTATATAAAGTCCCACATGAAAGGGTATATTAAAACATAGTTTCTATACATGAAATCTGGATAAGTTTCAAAGGATGCCTGAGTACCTCTCCATGAATGCTGTAGCTAATTCTGTTGTAGGAATAAAGAATACGTTTGATTCCCTCATTATGGTATATTAATTTATAGATGGAACAACTTTCACTCAATAACATTTTTCTTATTGTTTCAATAGGAAATGTGGATTTTAACTTTGTCTTTGTGCAGAGTGCAAAATGCCAACATAATAATAACAGCTAATACTTATTGATTGCTTGCTGTATGCCAGACATTGAGTGGTTTAAATCCATTTCTTCATTTAATGTATTACATTGGTATGAATACTTACTCTTCCTACTTGGTTTAATTAAACTTTTTTTTCTTGTGTCTTCTTTCTTGGGCTTTTCTCAGCTCTCTTTTTCTTTCCCTTCCCACCTTCAGTATAAATGATAGTATTAATGTTTCAGAGTCTCATTTCTTAAAAACAACCACTTTGTTCACATTGCCCTGACTTTAGCCAAAAACCAATTTGACATTGGAGAAATATATCAAATCAGATTTTATGCTGAATTTTTACTGATTTATTCAAAATGTTCAAGGGGTTTGTATATGTGGACCTGCAATAAATCCCAGAAAGGTGGGCTGAAGGGGAGGAGGTCTTTGAATGTGAAGTGGTAGATTCCACAGGAGTACGGCATCTTTTGTGAAGAGATCTGCAACAGAGGATGGAAAAAAGAAAACAGTTCACAAAAGGTGTGGGTAAAGGGTGGCAAAGAAGACATGTAATGCAAAATGAGGACATTTGTGAGGGATGCCTCAATGCATTGCATTAATAATTTGCATATTAAGAAGTCATGAGTCTTCACGTTAATGAATCCCTAACTAGTCTCTGACACAATAGACTGAACCGTCCCTGGAGGAGTCATTATGTCCTATCATGTCAATGAGCCGCATATTAACGACTCTCTTACATGCTCATCAACAGGTAGCCTAATAGGCTCCCATTGAGTTCTTTTTCATTTGCTTTTTAAATGTATCCTCTTTTCCCTTCCTTTTGTAATACTATTGTGAAGAATTGACAAAAAGGTGCATTAAGATGATTTTAATGTGTGACGTAAGTTCACAAAAGCATTAAATTCAGAAATAATGCTTTAAGTCTTACTCCTCTGCCTAGAAAACTTCTCAAATGCAGTTAAACACAAATCCAGTTGGATAATAGGGTTCTTATTTGGATTTTAACATAAACCATCCAACCCAATTTACCATATTTCTCTTTTCCCTGATATATCAATTCATGCTGTGATTAGCGTAAGTAGAATAGCTAGTTTGAAAGTATGTTTGTGAAATTGAATTGCTTGAACATGGAAATGAATTAGAACACATTTCATATCATAAACACTCATTAAAACCAAAGCAGTAGCTGATAGTATAAAAAATTAAAAATAAAGAGGAAATAGCAGACATATATTAATTTCATAGCAATAAAGAAATGAGCTAAAAAATTACTTTATAACTTTTAAATTTAACAATTCAAGGTAGTCGCAGGAAGGCACAATTTTAACTTTTCTAACTTGCTTTGGCAAGTTGGTCCCAATTACTCTATTTAATATATCTGGTGCTTTTTTACAAACATAAAATCTATGATCTCCTATAAAAAATACTGAAGAATTGTTCTTCCAGTATTTCTACTGAATTACACACCATCTCGCCTGATTTACTTTCCAGATGAAGGAAAGAGTATTGACACATGCTTGAGATCCTTTGTCAGGAGACAGGAATCGGTAGAACTGGGGGAAAAAGTTGGAGAAGTTTCTTAGCACTTTGTTCCCCATAAAAAAAAAAAAAATAACAAATGAACAACCACTTGTAAACATTGCTATTTTGAGAAAATTGAGGGCAAAGATGCTCAGATGAGCAGCTACAGGTTGGTACTCTGACCTCATACCTGTCACCCTCCATTTGGCAACAATTCCTTCTGAGAGGTGCCACTTCTTGAATGATTTGATTTCAAAGTCTGGAAGTCTCATGCTCCTTTGTGTTGACTCTGCCTCCTAACCCTTCCAAACATACACTGGATATACCAATTTACATTTTAAATTACTTTTTCTTAAAACAGTTTCAAAACAATAAGTAACAGAAATGCTAAAGAGCTTGTATGTCAAAGCTCAGTATTTAACAAACCAAATAGCTTAGCAATACTTACACGTAGATTCCACAAAGAAAGCGTGTTTAATCAGAGTTTCTGTAATTTCAATTAGCTGGCTCAGTAGTCATGACTCTGTGATAGTGACTTTTTACACAACCACAGATAAATCAACATCGTTATGAAAAAAAGAATGCCTGCAACTTAGTATCCTTAGGGAAAAAATACACACGACAATACTCTGATAATTTTTGGAAGATGGAGATGGTATAAAACTCTTAGTCGCTTTGCAGGGGAACTCTGGAGAATAAGGATGTCCAACTTTGGAAGTAGCAGGACTCTCAGCTGAACAATCACTCGTTTCTTGTCACCCACCTACTCCATGGGTGACAATTACTTCCTTTAAGAACTCAAGTAAAATAAGGCCTTTGGGCCAATAAGTTTAAGAACTTTTTCTGATATCCCTCTGATGTGTATTCTTTAGTTTTTCCAGTACTCATTGCTTAAAAACAATCACATTTCTCTCTCAATGGAATATAACTGGCAGGTTGTGGCAGAGTCATTCCTTGAGCCAGGTTTACCTATAAGTCTTCTTTACTTGAAATTCATGGATTCTGCTTATAATTCTATCTCCTCCCAAAGCAACCTACAATTTTTGGTTCACACATGGACCTCAAAGAGGCTACTTAATTCTTCACTAGATGCTCACAATGTAGTACCTCTTGAGAAAATACACATTGCCACAAAATGCACATGTTGCCCAGATTCAATCACAGAACTAAATCTAAACAGTCTTTTTTTTTTTTGTCCTGATTCCTGTGAGGTGAGGTGAGCAGAAAAAATAGCACCCAGCACTTTGACATGGCAAGGCAGATTTGAATGGGCAATCCTTAGTAGGCAACCAAGTTATGAAATGAAGAAACTTTGGAAAAGAAACTTACCAAAGGATTCTTCAACAAAGGTATGTTTTTCAGTTATTGAAATTTCCTGTATTGAGAAGGCATAGTACAATTGTTTTCAGTACGTTCTCAAGATCAAGCACCGAGGCAATGGGCAATGCTCTAATTGAGAAATAGAAATAGAAAAGATTTTTAAGAATGTAGTAAATCAGCTTTATGGAAAACAGGAAAATGACTCAATAAAACCATCTGGTCCCTAATGTCGTGGCATGTGCTTAGTTTCTTGAATGCTTGAGCTGTTCACTAGAGTTTATTCAAGGGTCTTGTGGTTTGCCATGGTTTATGATTACATTTTATAAGTAATAAATGAGCCTATATGATAGGTATTATCCAATACATTTGTTTATCCAACCAGTTGTGATATATGTAATGTTCTGTTATTTGAAAAGTTTTACAAGAACATAAGTAAAATGATGTGGAAGCAAATGATTCTGTAATCTTTACTACAAATAATATAAGATTAGCTCACAAACTGTGCAGGTAGGATTTCTATCAATTTGAACTGATAATGCTGACCATAAGATTTTTACCAAGAGTTTATTTTTGACTGTGTTGAAATTTTGAGTTAGCAGCTATTTCTACTGATTCTGCTAGCATTTTTATTTTTTTAATAGTTTAAGAAATTTCCAAATAAAACATTTCAAAATTATATTCATAAATACTCCTATTAGTTATATAAATATAGAACTCTAAAACTGGAAGGCATGTTATTTAATAGCAAAACTGAGAAGAGCAAGTTCATTCCAATTTGAGCAATAAAAGGGTTGATGGGTAGTGGCTGCCTGGCTGTGTGGAGAAGGTTCATTGAGTTGAATCTGGTCTCAGCAAGGAAATCCCTTGATCTGTTATCAGTCCTTGCCATGGGTGCTAGAGAGAGAGGCCAGCATGAGGGTATTGTATTTGATATCCCTAATCTAATCCAGAGCCTTTACTTCGAAGATAAGGAATGTGATGCCCACAAAAACCATATTCCTTACCATATTAGTTATTAGTCTCCAGATTCAGGATTGAAGGGAATATAAAGCCATTTAAAAATGTTGATGTTTTCTCTTTGAGATTATTTCTTGCTTCTTTCAATCCCTGTTAATAATGCAGAGCTGTCTTCATTTTATTGTGCTTTCTTTATCATCAAGGAACTGAATATAATTTGTCTTTTCAATCTAAATTCCTTCTGCATCATGCCTTTAAATCTTTTTTCCTTAGATACTTCCGCTCACAATTAGAAATTTATCTCTTTAATTCTCTGTCTTTTGATCAAATATTTCACTGCTGTTTTCAGTTTTACTCCGGATCAAGAGAAGACTACTGGTATTGTAACACCAAAGGGACAGATATTAAGCTCTAGTAGTTAATGTATTTTCAACATTACCTCTCGTTAAGTACAAGCTTTTGCTTTCCCCCATCCGCCAATTCAGAAGTGGCTAAAAAAAAAGTCAGAATACTAGAAAGTGAATTTTTAGGAAAATATCACCATAAAATTATGAAAATAAATAGTATACAATATGTAATTATTATCCCAGGAAAGCCTTTTCAGTATTTCTAGGAGTAGCCATTTGTCAGTGCCAATGCCAATGTTGATGTACTCTTTTTAAGTGTCTTAAAAAAAAATCTCAAAGAGGTGCCTATTTTTTCTAATTTAAAAGCTCTCCATTTATTTTCCTTTCTTTCTTTAAGGGAGGAGGATAGAGGAAACAAAATAAGACCAAAGAGGACAGGCTGAACTGCTTGAGGAGTTCAACATTTATGCATTTTTTAGCTGTTTCTCTGAGTGAAAGGTGGTGCCCAAGAATTCCAAGTACGGTGTTCTCTGAGCAATGCCGAGCATCTTGCAGCAGTGTTAAGGAGACACAAATACAAGTCATGACCACTTTGGAAATGATCCTTTTTTATGCCAACTTTTTTATTGCTCTTGGAACAGAGTTACACTTTTGCTGCCTGCAACCCAATCCTGACATTTACCCGGACTGGTTGGGTAATTCCATCACATCAGACTCGGATTGTGTGGAACAGGTCTCTGAGAGGTTTTACTCATATTTTAAGAGACATATGAGCTTTTTAGCACAATGGCATTATAGGACCTTAGGAAAATCATATCATTACTTATACAAAAACGACTACATTTCAACAGTGTTAAAATTAACTCCAAAAGCAGAAGTGTCACATATGCAGAAACTGCAGTAATGTGGTAATATTAACATGGTGCCTAAATCTCGACACTGAATAAAGAAGAAAGTGTGGATTAACATTCCCGTGCACACTGTATTTGGAGAGGACACTTTTCAATAAAAGGTTACTTTTACTGAAGATCTAGTGATTTTTCTTTGGAGGATGGTCCTCTGAGAAGGGCATTGTAAAAACAACTAAGCAAGTATGCTATCATGGGTTACAAATTTTACTCTTGAAAGTAGCTTGTGAATTAAAGGTATGAGAGAATATAGGGTAAACATTAAAAACTACAGATAACTCCAAGTGAAAGGAAAGGCATGGCACTTGGGTACCATAGTAGCGTAGAATGTGTTTACCACACATCACTAATAACAATAATAATAATAACAATAGTGATAATAACGATAAATTTATTAAACACTTCCATGTATTGAGAACTGTGCTAAATAATTGCCCTGTATAAGGAAGAGGCAATATTTTGGAGTAAACTGAGGCATAGAGAGGTTGAGTATCATGTCCGAGGTCACGTGGCTATTATATTTCATATGGATCATTATTGATCATTATTGATTGGAAACCATTAATTTCTTTATATATTCAAAACATATTTATTATCTACTTGAGGCCATCACACAAAATTTCAATGTTATGTCCCATTTCTTTGAAGTGGGGGAAAATTTAAATTGTAAAGATGATGCAAGCCTTTGTGCAATGATATTATAAGAGAGAAAAAAAACAATAAAATCTGGGCATTTTTCATTCAATAAACACTAATTTTCACTTCCCATTTGGTCAAAAGCCCAAAGACCTTCTAAGCCTAACACATTTCCTCAATGAAACTCATTGCTTTCCTTCACCCTTGTTTCACCTCCTGAATTCTCTATTTCAGGTGATGCTAGTTCCATCCTTTTAAATTCTCAAACTAGAAACCTCTGCATTAGCCTTTATTTCTCTCCACTCTTAAGTGTTTTCTAAATAGTAGGAAAGCATGTGACAAAGTCATAGCAAACTAACAAGGAGTAGGGGAACCAGGTTTGGGACCAGGAGGGCCAACTAAAGCAGAGAAATGACTCTCCCCACTGCCTATCATTGAGGGAAGGGGCAGTCTGCATAGCTAGACTCAATGGACTCAGTGCACTGAGATACATCACATCTTTATTGGGTTTACAAATCTGGCCTCACATCAAAATCATCTTGGGAGTTTCTCAGCTCTATCATTCTCCATTCCCTTCCCACCTCCATGTGCAGGTCTATTAATTTAAAACTTAGAGAGATCTGATCTGGTGCTTCTGATATGAAAGGCGATTTGGGGAACTGTTGTTATATCAAGAGTTATAGTATCCATGGGAGAAGGGAGGGACAGGTAGCAGGGCTCCTGAACAACGGAGATGCAAGTTCCTTTATGAGCTTGATCTCTAGTTCCTTAGAGATTCATCTAGATAGAATGCCCAGATCTAGCAGAACTAGTAGGTACTACTTACAGGCTGGCTAATAACTACTTAGAATGTTATGGCCCAGGTGAACAGTGTGGATGGGAAGGCATTTTATTTTTCCCCAGTGAAGGACTAGAATAAAAGCCAGGAACCTAAGCATAACTTGTGGGTCCCCTGTCCAAGCATGTGAGATTAGGGAAGAAGGTGCTTCTCATGGGTACCTCAGAAGCAGATCACCCAGCCCATAAGAGATCAGAAACCACACTGCAGATTAATTCAACACCTTCCTGACTTGTAGTGCAGGGGCCCCAGTTAACTTCCAGATTTAACTCTTCCTTGCTTAGGTCTTAGGAGGGAAAACAGTAGATTTCTAAATCTCATGAATGCAACCAACGTCAGGCAGAGAGTCATTTTTAAAATCTATCTACAGGGAATTGATCAACAAATCATATTTTTGCCACATCAAAAGTTATAACTCAAATTTGATTCCTCTCCTCTTTCCTTGCTGTCACCTTTAACCCTCATCATATTTGTGCCTGAAATATTGTAGTCTTCTCGTGGCTAGTCTACCTGCCCCACTGTGGCTCATTCAGGTTCTCCTTAGAGAAGTCCCTAAATGTACCTCCAGAGATTGGTTCTAAAATGGACATCTGATCATGTCTCTCTCCCATTGAACTCCCTTTCCCTACCACCCCCTGCAGTGGTTAAAAAGTGCATAAAGAATTCAGCCCCACTCTGCTTGGCATGCTAAGCCCTTTAAAACCTACTCAAAAACAAACTGATGATTACCAGAGGGGAGGTGGGCTGAGGGATGGGTTAAATAGGTGATGGGGATTAAGGAGGGCACTTGTGACGAGCACCAGATGTTGTAAGTGTTGAATCACTAAATTGTACACCTGAAATTAATATTACACTGTATGTTAACTGACTGGAATTTAAATAAAATTTACTAAAAAAAAAACAACACCACCAAAACCTATTCAAACTAACTCTAGTTCTGTTCCTCGGCATTCTTTCCCCCCAATACAATTTGAACCGTCTGAACATTTCATTGTTTCTGAATGTGTCTCTGTCTTTTGTGCTTTCTTACCCTAAAATCTTTTACCACTTGTAATTGCCTCTGTCTGGAATGACCATACCATTCTTCTCTAATTGCCAAACTCTTACTTTCCTCAATAACTCAGTGACTCAAAATATTACTTCCTTTGTAAAAAATTCCATGATTTCCCCACAGAGTACCCTCCTTGTTTCTGTCCTCCCTTTTTTTCTTAGAGAATATGTTTCATATTCCATAATGTATTATAATACTTATCACTTATTACAGTGATTATAATAATTGCCTGTTGATGTGTCTATTTCCATCCTTACATTTTAGCTTCCTAAAAGTAAGACGTTATGATATCCCAGTGTTTATTATTAAGTTATGAGAGTGGGTGATCAAAATATCTTCTAGAAGAACGAATGACCCTTCTTATGATTAAATAATACAAAAGGCTATATTATATGATTTAAGATGCACTGGAAATAAACTTTCTCCACAAAATACATATCTTTTTGACTTTTTAATTTCTAAGTTTATAAGATTTTAAAATGTTGTTTAATTATTTGATGTCATAATTAAAAACATTGTCCTGAGCTTTGGAAGGGGTGAAACTTTAAGCATTAAAAGACAAAGAGGTAAAGAGAAGGGAAGAGTAGAAAGGATGTTGTGCATTTATTCAACAGCCACTAGTATGGGTCAGGCACTGTTTTAGCCCCTGGGAATACAAAGAAATAAGAAACTTCCTTGCTTAAAAGAGCTCAGGTAACATGAAAGGGAGACCCGAAATAATCAATAATGCTTTTCATTTCTATGACAATTGTGTAGTTCTGGGCCCTATCATCAACCATCAGGTGCTTTGTTTTTTTTTTTTAAAGATTTTATTTATTTATTTGAGAGAGAGAGAATGAGAGACAGAGAGCATGAGAAGGAGGAGGGTCAGAGGGAGAAGCAGACTCCCCGCCGAGCAGGGAGCCCGATGTGGGACTTGATCGCGGGACTCCAGGATCATGACCTGAGCCGAAGGCAGTTGCTTAACCAACTGAGCCACCCAGGTGCCCAGGTGCTTTGTTTTTATCCTCAATTCTTCTAAAGTTGTTTTAATTATACTCTTTAGATGTAACTGGTCGTATGACTGGCACTTTGAATTTCAGCGTGGGATTTTATCTAAAGACATCCTCTAATCTAAGCCAGAGAGTAAGCCATTTGTCTTAATAAATTATCTGAAATTAGAATTTAACTAGATATTTTAAATAATGTAATAAGCACCTGCAAAACTACCACTCAAAACAACAACCAAATTCTAATCACTTCCTTTCCTCATCCCTTACCCCAACTTGCCCCACCTGACGTAACCATAATCTTTAAAATCAAGCTTTCTTGTTTATATAACTTTTTAGTATATTCTGTTTTCCTTGATAATATATATATATTATCCTTGATATATATATATATATATATATATATATTCAAATTATTTTAGTAGTTTTTAGCTTATAAAAAGAACATCCTCTGATGTAATGTTTTGGAACTATTCATTTAATGCGATGTTACTAAGATTTATCCATATTGTTGTATGTCTCTGTGGTTTATTAATTTTGAATGCTATGTAATATTTCTTTTTATGATATGCCATAGTTCTGTGTGTCTCTTCTGTTGGTGGGCATTTAGATCGTTTCAAGTTTGTGTACTTGATAGCAATTTTTATCAATTAAATGGATATTAAAATAATATCTCCTTGTGGTTTTGATTTACATTTCTCTGTTCTCTGACAATACTGCCTATCCTTTTATGTGCTTACTGGCTATATGAAGTTTCTCTTCAGTGAAATGTCTGTCCCTCTCCCTTGAGTCTATGAAAATGTTCTTGCTTTCTTATTGATTTTCTTATATATTATTGATGCTTTTTTTGTGTTGATTTTATGTAACACATGCATTCTATCCTAGTTTGTAATTTATATTTTTCTCTTATAAATCTGTCTTTTAATGAACAAGTTTTAAATTTCAATATAGTTAAACTGACAATCTTTTTTTTATAGCCACTTTTTTTCTTCTTATTTAAGAAAACATTTCCAACTCTGAAGTCTGTAAGATATTCACACGTTTTTTCTATTAAGAATTTCAAGGTTTTGGGATGCCTGGGTGGCACAGTAGGTCGAGTGTCCAACTCTTGGTTTTGGCTCAGGTCATAATCTTAGGGTAGTGAGATTGAGCCCCCCCGTTTGGCTCCATGCTCAGTGTGGAGTCGCTTGATGATTTCTCTCCTTTTTCATCTGCCCCTCCTCCCGCTCGTGCTCTCTTTCTCTCTAAAATAAAGAAAGAATTGATACTAAGCGTAATTCTGATAACTAGGTCAGTGACAATTGCAACTTAATTCCATCAAAGTAAAACCTGTTAAACAGATACCAGAAGTATACAGGAGTAAAAATAAACCTCTACTGGTCAATTTAATCAAACTGGTTGTATAAATCTCACATTTCAACAGAACACTGGCAAAAAAGAATATTCTGGTTTTATATACTTAAATCAGATGCTAGATTTTTTTTCTTTTCTTTTCTTTTTTTTTAAAGATTTTATTTCATTTATTTGACAGAGAGAGACACAGCAAGAGAGGGAACACAAGCAGGGGGTAGTGAGAGAGGGAGAAGCAGGCTTCCCGCAGAGCAGGGAGCCTGATGTGAGGCTCAATCCCAGGACCCCGGGATCATGACCTGAGCCGAAGGCAGACGCTTAATGACTGAGCCCCCCAGGTGCCCCTAGATTTTTTTTCTGAATTAAGGAAATATTTTGTTATAGAGGATACATAGATTTCTAATTTTATCTGAACTTCTGGGTTCATTAGACATTAGTTGCATTACTGCCAATGTTTTTGTTGGTTCTAATTAAGTATGATTTAGTATATTGCTTAAGCTATTCATAGAGACAGATTTAAATCTTAGATTTTGTTGTTGTTGTTGTTTAAAACATTTTCAAAAGAATAAATGACTTTAAAATTCAAATTGTTTACATTTCAGCATTCCTTAGTGGAACATTTCTGGGTTATTTTCCAAATGTGGTAATAGTAAATTTAAGTTTTAAGGGTAAATTTCTTGAACAGTTTTACTTATATTTGTTCATTATACCTATTTAGGAAAGCAGACTTTTCATGAGCATGCACAATGTTTACAGAAAGAGGTTTATCTAGTTTAGAGCATGCTATAATAAAAGCTGTGTTTTGGGAAAATTACATCATGAGTTCACTTACTATTTTTTCATATAGAATTACAGAAATACAGAATACAATTAAATCATCTAGATTCTTTTTATATTTTGCATAAGTATGATTCCAGATGGCTAAATTATTTTAGGATACTATTAGTCTAACAAGCAGAAATAAAAGCAATACGAACACTTCTGCTGTATATGGGTCCTGCTGGAGAAGTTAATGTAAGGTCATAAACATTGGTCTTACACAGTATTGGCCACAAATGTTAAAATAAAAATGCATGTATATATTTGAAAAATAAAATAAAATAAAATAAAAAATAAATCTTTTTAAAAAAAGAATTTCAAGATTTTTGACATTTCAGATATTAATCCATCTGGAGTTCATTTCTGAATATATGTTGTGCTGATTTCATCTTTTCTCATAGAAGCAGCCATTTTCCCTATCTTCATTTTTGAACAATCCCTTATTACCTACTATATGATATACCATGTTTGTAATATACCCAAGTTCTAGATATGTGCAAATCTGTCACTATGCTCTCAATCCTTGTCTGTCCATCTCCATACCACCATAACTGTCTTAAAAAACTAAAACTTCATATGATCTCTTGAAATCAGGTAGAGCAGGTTTCTCCTCACAGTTACTTCTCAAAAATATTTTATCTACCTTCAGTCCTTTAGTCTTCTCTTTAAGATCCTATTTTCAAATTTTGTAAAAAAAAAAAAAAACCTGTTGTGGATTTTTATTTATTTGAGAGAGAGAGATAGAGAGAGGGAGAGAGAGCAAGCAAGAGAGCCCAAGCAGGAGGAGAGGCAGAGGGAGAGGGAGAAGCAGGCTCCTGATTTGGGGCTCGATCCCAGGACCCCAAGATCATGACCTGAGCCAAAGGCAGATGCTTAACTGACTGAGCCACCCAGGAGCCCCAAAAACTGTTGTGGGACTTTGATTAGAATTGGATTGAATCAATTTGGGAGAGAATTAATAATTTAATATATCTTCTTCCTATCTATGAACATGGTATGTATCTCAATTTTTCTAGGTTTTTAGTATTTCTTTTTTTTTTAATTTTTTTATTGTTATGTTAATCCCCATACATTACATCATTAGTTTTAGATGAAGTGTTCCATGATTCATTGTTTGTGCATAACACCCAGTGCTCCATGCAGAACGTGCCCTCTTTAATACCCATCACCAGGCTAACCCATCCTCCCCCCTCCCCTCCAGAACCCTCAGTTTGTTTTTCAGAGTCCATCGTCTCTCATGGTTTGTCTACCCCTCTGATTTCCAACCTTCATTCTTCCCCTCCTGCTATCTTCTTCTTTTTTTTTTCTTAACATATATTGCATTATTTGTTTCAGAGGTACAGATCTGAGATTCAACAGTCTTGCACAATTCACAGCGCTTACCAGAGCACATACCCTCCCCAGTGTCTATCACCCAGTCAGCCCATCCCTCCCATCCCACCCCCCACTCCAGCCACCCTCAGTTTGTTTCCTGAGATTAAGAATTCCTCATATCAGTGAGGTCATATGATACATGTCTTTCTCTGATTGACTTATTTCGCTCAGCATAATACCTTCCACTTCCATCCACATCGTTGCAAATGGCAAGAGCTCATTCCTTTTGATGGCTGCATAATATTCCATTGTATATATATACCACATCTTCTTTATCCATTCATCTGTCGATGGACATCTTGGCTCTTTCCACAGTTTGGCTATTGTGGACATTGCTGCTATAAACATCGGGGTGCATGTACCCCTTCGGATCCCTACACTTGTATCTTTGGGGTAAATACCCAGTAGTGCAGTTGCTGGATCATATGGTAGCTCTATTTTCAACTTTTTGAGGAACCTCCATACAGTTTTCCAGAGTGGCTGCACCAGCTTGCATTCCCACCAACAGTGTAGGAGGGTTCCCCTTTCTCTGCATCCCCGCCAACATCTGTCATTTCCTGACTTGTTAATTTTAGCCATTCTGACTGGTGTGAGGTGGTATCTCATTGAGGTTTTGATTTGGATTTCCCTGATGCCAAGTGATGTTGAGCACTTTTTCATGTGTCTGTTGGCCATTTGGATGTCTTCTTTGGGAAAATGTCTGTTCATGT